CTGGGAACATGTCGGATCTTCACTTGTACAAATTTTTTGATAAGTTCTTGAACTTTTCTAAGATAAAGGGTCATCTTCTCACCCTTAGCCTCGTAAGAACCCTCTATCTGTTTTACCACGAGTTGTGAGTCACTGCAGATCTCCAGTTGTACGGCTTCCATTGAATGAGCTAAGCTGAGCCCTACTATGACTGCCTCATACTCGGCTTCGTTGTTTGAGGCTTTGAATCCAAATTTCAGTGCGTATTCGACATCTATCTCATCGGGAGAAGTCAAAATCAAACTAGCTCCACTGCCCTAAACATTGGCAGCTCCATCTACTGAAAGTTTCCACGTAGGGAAGTCAGGTACTAACTGCACTGTCTCTGTAGGTATCCCAGTTGTGAATTCTGTAATGAAATTTGTCAATATTTGCCCCTTAATGACTGTCCTTGATTTGTATTTGATGTCAAACTCGCTAAGTTCAACGGCTCATTTAATCAGTCTCCCCCGAAGATTTTGGCTTATGCAGCACCTGCTTCATAGGTTAATCTGTTGGGACTTCGATAGTATGAGCCTGTAAGTAGGGTCTTAGTCTCCTGGCAATTGTCACTAAGGCTAAAACGAGTTTTTCTATTTTAGGATACCTTTCTTCTGCCCCCCTTCAGAGCTCGGCTGCAGTAGTAAACTGGTTGCTGAGCTCTGTCCTTCTCCCTTACTAGCGCTACGCTGGTTGAGAACTCTAAGACAACTAGGTAAAAGGTAAATGCTTCTCCTTCTAATGGGCATACCAAGACAGGTGGGAAGCTCAAGTATTCTTTCAATGCTTTGAAGGCTTCTGCACACCGAGCGTCCCATTGAAAGGCTTTCTTTAAGACTTGAAATAAGGGCTGATACTTGTCGCTTGATCTGGAAATGAAGCAACTCAGGGCAGCTATTCTCCCAGGTAAACGCTGTATTTCCCTCGTGTTGGAGGGAGGCTGCATATCCAACACTACTTTTACCTTTTTTGGGTTAGCCTCTATCCCTCTGCTATTAACTATGAAGCCCAAAAATTTTCTTGCTGACACCCCAAAGGCACACTTAGCTGGGTTGAGTTTCATCTTGTATTCTCTCAGGACCTGAAATGACTTTGCTAGGTGTCCAATGTAGAGCTCTGCCTTCAATGACTTGACCAGCATGTCGTCACTATAGACCTCCATGGAGGTCCTAATATGTTTTTGAAACATCTTATTCACCAGCGTTGGTAAGTGGCTCCTGCATTTTTTAACCCAAAAGACATCACTTGATAGCAGTATATCCCTTGCTCAGTTATGAATGAGGTCTTCTCTTGGTCACTGGGATCCATTCTGATCTGATTGTACCCAGAGAAGACGTCCATGAAGCTGAGGAGCTCATGTCCCGTAGTGGCATCTACAATCAAATCTATTTGGGGTAAAGGAAAATTATCTTTCGGACAAGCACGGTTGAGGTCTGTAAAGTCAATGCAAAGATGTCATTTTCCGTTTGTCTTCTTGACTAGGACTACATTGGCTAGCCAGAGTGGGTAATTCACTTCTCGAATGGCTTTCGCGTGAAGGAGTTTGCTAACCTCTTCGTTGATGGCTTTTTGACGTTTCAGGGCGAAGTTCCTCCTCTTCTGCTTAACTGGCTTACAGGTTGGATTCACGCTGAGCTTGTGAGTGATGACAGAGGGATCAATCCCTTTCATGTCCTCTTGCTTCCATTCAAAAACTTCCTTATTCCTTTTCAGGAATTGGATGAGGAGATCCTTAATCTCCTTGCTCAGCTTGGATCCAACGTAAACAAGATGCTCTGGCTCCTCATCAATTTGAACAGGTTCCACCTCTTCTGATGGTGTTAGCCTGGTCTCGAGTTCATCCCTCATGTCAAGCTCATCCAATTGGATGCTCTCAACTTCCTATTTCTCATGGATGCCATGTAGCATTCCCGTGCTACACGCTGGTCTCCTCGGACTACTCCAACTCCGTTTTTTGTTAAAAACTTCACTACAAGGTGATAGACAGAGGGAATAACCCTTATAGAATTGAGCGAGAGTCTTCCAATGAGCATATTGTATGTTAAAGGTGCATCAACCACTAGAAATTTTACAATTATTGTAGTCTGACAGGGTGGGTCACCTAAGGTCAAGATGAGTTGGATTGACCCTAGGGGCAACACCCTTTCTCTTGAGAATCCCAATAGGTGGGAACTTACTGGTTCAAACTTTTCCCTTCCTATATCTATTTTGTCGAATGCAGAAGCAAAAATAATGTTTGCCGAGCTGCCATTGTCAATCAAAACACGATGGACAGTTCTGTTAGCCACCACAACTCTTACCACCAAAGGGACATTATGCGGATGTTGGCAGCCCTTCAGATTTGAATCTGAGAAAGTGATAGCCGTGTCTAAGCGTGGAGACTTAGACATAGTATATACTTCGGGAGCTTCTGCGGCTCTGATTTTTTGCAAGTGGGCCTTTCTAGTAGAGCTGGACCCTCCTCCTCTGGAAAATCCTCCAGATGTTACTCTGATCTCCCCCATAGGTTACTGGTGTGGCTCTGGTACTTGACGCTGAGGGGGTAGGGGTGGGAGAGCTCGATTTTGATTATCATTGGCCACATAGCGTCGCAGCTGCCCTCGCTGGATTAAAAATTCTATTTCCTTCTTCAATTGGATACAGTCGTCGGTGTGATAACCATAGTCTCTGTGGAAGTTACAATACTTCATAGGATTTCTTTTTGTCGGGTCTGCTTTCATCCGGGGTGGCCACCTTAAGAACTTCTCATTTTGCACCTCATACAGTATCTGAGACGCCGTAGCAGTCAGAGGGGTGAGTTGTCAGGGTGCATACCTTAGTTGTAGCTCTGGTTGTGGAGGGCCGAGGCGATCCCTGACTTTTTCTCTTATCTTCGGGGAACGCTCTCTTTCTCTTCTTGGAGACCTGCCTCATTCTCTTTCCTTTCTGGGACTTCGTTCTTTTTTATTTTCTTCCTTCCCTCTCTCCTTTCTCGACGAAGAGCTCTCGACCTTGGAGAGGAGCGCTTCCTCACCATTTATGTACTGTTCTGCTTTGGTAAGCACCTCCGTCATACTTGACTGGGGGTTCTTTGAGATGAAAAACATCAGATCTTTTGATTGAACTCCCAGACCTATTATGAAGGCTGTAATAGCAAATTTTTCATCTTGGACATCCACCTTCAAGGATTCTGAGTTAAACCGTTGGACATAAGACCATAGGTTCTCATCAAGTCCCTGTTTCATATTTAACAAATGGTAGCTCGGTTTCCTATAGGTCTGAGCTCCGATGAAGTGGGACACAAATGAGATTGACATCTCTTTAAAAGAGAAAATTGAGGCTGGGGGGAGTCTGTTGAACCATGCTAAGGCTGAGCCCTTTAAGGTGATAGCAAAGGCCCTGCATCTCACTGGATCTTGATATCTATGCAACTCCATTTGGTTTTTATAGGTATTGAGGTGGTCCATGAGATCTTTTGTCCCATCGAAAGCATCCACCTGTGGCATTCTGAACTTAGGTGGGAGAGGGAAGTGCAGCACCCCCAACAGTGAATGGGGATTCGATTTACTGCACCAAAGCATCCATAGTGACTGGGGCCTTGCTTTTCACTGCCTCCTTCATCTGGCTGAGCTCTTGCTGGATGTCTTTGAAACGTTACTCCTAGTGGCGTTCTCTTTTCTCCTGTTGATAAGGGAAGAAGTCACTCCTCTCCCTTTCCTTATACTGACTTTGCACTTCCTCGTTGTGACCATTCCTAAGGAGTAGGTGAGATTCTTGTCCCAAGGTCTGACTATTCTCTCCCACCTCATTAACTTCTCTGAGGGGGTCGAGATACGGTTGCTCCCTTGGTGGTGGATTATTCTGGTCTCCTTGGGTCGGTCGCGCCTCCTGTGGGCGTTGTAGGAGCTTTAAGAGCTCTTTGTTCTGTTTTATTAGACGTTCATTGACAAGACGAAGGGCCTCCATTTCATTATTCATGGGAAGGTCCCCCATGGAGGGATCGACTTTTTGCGCGTTTTCGGGTTGTTTGCTATTTGCGGCTTCCTGTTGATCTTGCATCCTTAGAGGATTGGTCTGGCTTCAGCTCATGTTTCGTGTTGATACCATTAGTCACTGAAAAATCAGCTTTATTTGTAACAGGAACAGTCGTTTCCATAGATAGCGCCAAACTGATGGTGTTAACGCGTTTATATAAAAATGGGACTAGAGTTATGTTAGGTAGCAGGGACGATGCAATAATGTAAAAGACTTTGGATGTTTCACATAATAAAATTATAGTGGTTCACCAGCTCGGAAGCTTGACTAGTCCACTTTGGAATGGAGGCTCTTACTCCTTTTGTTTTATTCATGATGATTACAAGGATGCTATGACTCCTTTGCGTTTCTAGGGTTCTCCCCTTGTTAGGAGACGTTACATTGCATTTATAAGGTCATTCCTGGCTAAGTGAGATCCTGGGTAAGATTCTTGCCCTTACTTCGTGGGGTTCTCCTTAATTCTAGGAGAAGATCTTGGTTGGTTGAGATTAGGTATATTGATTATAGCTTCCGAACGCTTTAGGAACCTCTTGTGGTTATCCAGTCGTTGCCTTACCTCAAGAAACATTCAACCCTTGTCTTCTGATTTCAATTAACACTTGAAATTTATTTTAGGCATTATCAGATGTCAAGATTGACCTTGAACCAATGAACTATGTATTCACTTTATCAGCTGTTCAAGGGTGGTCGTCTTGTCACTAAATTATCCATAGTACTTTCTACATTTTTGTCTCTTGGAGGGCTCCTGGAAACAGAGTTGTAGTTTGTGGAGCCTCTCCAAATTTCGGCATAGCAATTCAAAGCATATAGTTGGTGTTTGAATTCATTATCTGGGAGGTGCAGTTTGTTTGACTTGTGGTATTGTCACTAGTAAGGGTTCCTGACTGTTTGTTATGGAATATGCAACTCTAGTGCCTTGGTAGGACGGCCCGACTGTCCTCAATAGGCTACTGTTAGTATCTATAAGACACACGATGAACTACTACGAATGCAATACATCTTCTCATGTAAAATGTTTCTAGTTATTCATAGTATAGCAGAAAGATTTAACGGACTGAATAACAGGTGATGTGAAGTCTTGTTGGAGCTTCCCCTTGTTTTGCTGAAGCTTTGGTTATTTTGCTGCCCGGTGTAGATAATGTCAAGTTTTTAGCTGCTTCTTTCTGCATAGCAAACTTCAGGGACAGAATTTGCAATCTCCGATGAGTTGATCTTAAGTGACTGTGGTTTACAAGCTTTGGGTATGTTGTTGCCCCTATAAGCTCTGCAGACATAGTCTACAAAATTTTGGTAATCCTGCAGCCAGTGAAGCATAATGTAAGATTTATTTTGGGAACCCCCGTGGTTTTTTTTTTTTTTGTGGGGGG